AAAAAATCACTCCGCCCCGCGCGTCAGCGCGAGAAATTCCGACGCCCCGAGCCTATCGACGCGCGAGAACTCTGTCGCCTGTACAGGGTGTTTGAAGAAATTACTGGGAAACTTCAGGGGCGTCTAATACCGATCGAAACGAACAAAAAAGTATTAACAAACGTAGACACGAGAGCCATTAGTTTGGGAGTTATTAGATTTGTTTAGTTTGACGCTGATCGAATGGCATAGTAGATAGTTTTGTTGGTGTATGGTGTTAATCTAGAGAAATGGAAACTCAGTGTCTATGTTAGTTCTGCTGACACGTCGTTTGTCGTGGTCAGAGGTGATCTTTAGCGAATTTCTTGGGAACAAGTGAGATAGTGTCGTTGCGGAATAAAAATATTAAACTAAGTAACCGGATGACAGCGCGCCGTGAGAATTGCTCGGTAATATAGTCAGCTGCCTGTTTCAAACACCGTGTATATCAGGATCATGGCTCGGACTCCTCGAGATCGAGCGGCGCGCGTCGATGCCTATCACGCCAATTAAGCATTTCGCTCGGAACGAAGACGGAGATAAAAAACAGAAGGGGAACAACAAGAAAACAACAACGCTACGCAACGACGCGACTCAATTTGCCCCCGATTCCGGCCATCCGGCTGGGTAAACAGGCGAAATACCGCGCAAAAAAATTCCAATTATCCTGGCTGTTCGCCGTTGCCGTCGTTGTTAGGCGGAGGGGAGAGGAAGAGGCGCAAAGATTAAATTCCCGGGGTGAAATTAGAGATTAAAGCGTTAACGAGCCGCGGCACCCGGGCGCGATAAGTTACGAGTCGTGTAACGCGCGCCACATTGGCGACGAATGGATCGGCCATCCCGTTTATGAATTTTTTAGAGGATCGGGCTATCATTTTTTACTTTAGCCCGACTGTAGTTCACGAGAAGATACCATTGTTTCTGAAGCAGTAGTCCAGTTATTGAGATACTGTAGTTGCCGAAGCGATATTACATTTACCAAGATGATAGTGCAGTAGACAAAGCAATATTAGAGTCACCTTTACATTACCGTAATTATCAAAGCAGTAAAAGTTGTGAATTACTGTAGTTGTCAAGGCAAAATTATAATTGTCAAGATATTACATTTACCAAGACGATATTGTAATTGTTAAGGGGATATTACATTTACTAAGACGATATTGTAATTGTTGAGGTAATATCAGATTTACCAATGCAATATTGCAGTTATCGAAGCAACATTAGACTCACCAATGCATTACTGTAATTATCAAAGCAATAAAAGTCGCGAATTACTATAGTTATCAAGGTAAAATTATAATTGTCAAGATATTACATTTACCAAGACGATATTGTAATTGTTAAGGTGATATTACATTACCAACGCAATAATGCAGTTATCCAAGCAATATTAGAGTCACCAATGAATTGCCGTAATTATCAAAGCAATAAAAGTCGCGAATTACTGTAGTTATCAAGGTAAAATTATAATCGTCAAGATAATATTATATATTGTAGTCACCAGGGCGATAATCTAGTTACCAAGGCAATACTTTAGTCACCGAAGCAATACTGTATCCTCCAAAGTGACCGCGAGATTCGATCCCGAACTACAGTTACCATCCATCCCGAATTAAGGTTCCTTTGGACCCCGACACGACCGAAAACCGACAGACGCAGGTAACTCACCTGTCCTCAGAAGGGAGCAGAGCACCAGCAACGGCAGCCACATTTTAGTCGGACACTTGCCGCACCTGGAGTACGATCCGCCGATTGAAGAGCCACTCCACCCCGCTTGTAACCTCGAGTGTCTCATCGTTCGCTCAACATTTGACGACTGCACCACCCACCCTCGCCGTGCAATTTTATTATTATTACTTCCAACCGGGCGACTGCTAATCAAATCCACTGGTTGCTTTCGATCACTTTTATTTTTCGAATAGCTTCCCTCTACTTTCCCGATGCTCCAGGGGTGGGGTTTCTTTATATTCCCACGGTAGATCCGCTATCTTCGATATTCCGCTGATATAAGTAGTATTTTCTTCGGCGTGGCTAATCAAATTTGCTCGCTGCGTTTCATCGGTTTGGATGTTTTCTCTTTTAGAGCTTAAGGGTGGTTTTCTTGATACTTTCTACTTAGTCTCGTACTTCTTCGAAGAATAATCGTGTTCTTCACTAGTGTTGCTAATAAAATCCACTTACTCCTTCCTTACTCTTTAGAATATTCTTTTTTAGAATATTCAGGGGGTGGCTTTCGATTACTGTCCACGTATGTTCACTAACTTCGATTTTCTCATGGAATAATCCTTAAATTGTGCAAGTAAATGATAATTCCCTTTAGTCACTCGGTGCATTGTCGAAGTTCGTTAAGGGGTGGTTTCTTAATGGTTTCTATATGCACTTCCTATGTTGAATTTTCCCATAGTATACTTCCCATACTAATCAAGTCCACTTGCTCTTTTCAGAATATTCTGCTTCAGAGTCCGTCAAGGGACGAATTTTCAGAGATTTCCCTGCAGATTCGTTATCATCGATTTTCCAGTAGAACAATCATTTCATTTACGAGCGAGATCACCGCGGTAACTCCCACCGTGTCCCTTCCGGTCACTTTTATTCGAGTATCCTCCCGTCAAGTTCATCAAGGTGTGAATTTCCTATATTTCCCTTCCGGAATCATTATCGTCGATTCTCTCGGTAGAGCGGTCACCGTATTTTTCGCCGGGATAGTTATTAACAACCGTCGGACGCTCTCAGACAGCCGCGTCGCGGTGTTTTTCCCTTTTTAATGGGCTCGCCGGGGTGTGGAGTAATCAGGGGCCGGGTTCGCCACAGTTTTCTTTCAAAGCCGGCCGCGATTTTTCGTTCCTCTTCTTTTTGCCCGTTATAATCGTTTGCGCGATTTACGGTGGACCGTTCGCGGGATCCGAGCGGATGCTTTCAGTCGCTCGCGCGAGACAATCCACCCTTTTCGACGAGCCTGCTTGTAGGACAGCCGGAGGGCTGGTTCTCGGTGTTTTTCTTTTTTCAAACGCGATCCTCCATTTTTCCTCGCAGCGGCCAGCCTTTATGCAGCCTCAGCAAAATCCACTGAACATATTACCGTTCACTCCCCTGCGTTTCTCGAAGGATCGAATCGCAACACACTCGGATAAAACAATTTACATCCGAAACTGCGGTTTAACGATCGTCAATTAAGACGGTCCGTACAAGTTACACCCAAACTTCGGGCGAAACCTGATCGATCCGGATCGATCGAGACGCTCTATACCTTCGGGGAAGGACTAGGAGTGGCGGACCTACCCCAAACCTGTGACCTCCTTCCGGCTTCTCCGCCCTTGTCAAACAAAACAGCGGATGCTAACGCGCGAATCCACCGGAAAATCGTGTTGCCCGTTGTTCGTCTCGTTATCCCGAATGGTCCCAGTGTATCGTCCGTGCGGCAACCCCGGAGCATATCCCCGGTTGATTATAATAATCCCTCCAGCACAGCATCAATCGAATCCGCCGGGTATCCTCGATCACTTAAAACCCAAATTAGATTACAACCTCGAGACTTAGCGGTCGCTCTCTCTCGACGGGAACACCGTGTCCGTCCTCATCCCTCCGCGCCGGAATCCATCAGAGCCACGGGAACCGCGGGCCGTCCCTCCAGTATCGTATTCTCGCGAGAAATTTCCTCGAGGTCTAGTCTCATTAGCCCGCCCTTTCAGCCGGATCCTTCCGGGTCATCCAACGACGGAGGTTTAATCAGCAAATCCGCCGATCAAACCGCCTCGACCCTTCGCGCGCATTTGTCCGCGCGCCCCTCCGCCTCTCTCTCTCGCCGGTCCGGCACCCGCCCCGGTGCTAGACTAATTAGTACCCAAATTAATTATCCCCGCGGCCGGCGCTCGCTCTCCGGTCCCCTGGCCACACACCGGCTTCTCACGAAGACGCGCGTCGCTCATCGGATAAGTCCGGTGATTTGCCTCATTTCCACGTTTCCGCTTTTACCTGGCACCCTCTTAATTATCCGATCCACCTCCCCGATACTCGTCCACCGTTCACACGAGACCGATTATCCTTTTTCCCTTTCCCCCGACACGGTACAGAGGAACGATCCGAAGCACCTGTTCGTTAAAACGTATCGAGATCGGACACCTAGCCACGTGCCACTATCCCGCACTCAGCCACGTGACACTGGACTCCGCGATTCTTAACTGTCATCCGTCGATCCACTCGCGCGACGCCTCCACGGTCCACCGGGATCTATCGATCGATCGAGGCGTCGAGGTACACCGTCCAGTTCACTGCCACCTCCGCGTGCCACGGTTTTTCACGCTGAATCCTGATAATCCTGAGAACTAGTCCCGACACTGTATCACTGGCGGACGATAGTATCCTCGGCGATGTAGCACATGTGTTCACCGTCGGAAGTTCGAGGATCGCCGATCAGACCGATGGATTATCCGCGAATTATAGAGCCACGTGCGATCCAGGACGGGTTCAGGCTCTCGAGATCGGCGTCGGCCGCGTTCACGCACGAAAATCTTATACGCGACGGTTTTCCGCGACAGCGTCGTTGACAACCGCTACCGGGAACCTTTTCCATCGAGAGTTCGTAGTTGACAGAAAGCCTTGGCGGGAGCTGCACGACGAATAAGGTGCCACTCCCACCCGCGCATGCTCCTCCATACTCTGGATCGTCGTGCCCTCTCCGTCCTGCGCCGCCCTTTCTCTCTGTCCCCCCTTTTCCAGCGAACGCTCCGCGAGCACCGACGGGTTATTCCCTCGCGTTACTCGCTTCTTACCTCGCCCTTCGCGCCAGCGTTTCTCGCTCGCCCGTACGCTCGTACGCTTACACGCGTGGCCGTAACGTTCTCCTGCGGCTAGCTTCTTTTCGCTTTCCTCGCTCGCTCGTCGTTTCCTTCTCCCGTCACCTTCCTCGTGTTTCTTTACACCGTACTCAATCCGCGAATCGATCGACAGGAATGCAGATCGCTATCGCGACTAACTTCTTCTCACTTTTTGTTTCCTTCGAATCACCTTCTTTCTTCGGTGTTTGCTCTGTGCTTCGTTGCGCTTCTTTTTAAACTGCGGTTGACCCGCGAATCAATTAACGGCGATGCAGATGCTATCGTGCTAAAGACTCCTTTTTCCTCTCCTCGTTTCCTTTCTTCGTTTATAGTGTTTCTTCTTTCTTTCTCGGGTTCTACTCTTTTATTATTTGCTTACTTCGTGGTCTTGTTGCGAACCGAGCTTCCTTCTCAGACGTTCCAGAGGAACTGGAGGACTTCGTATCTATAAATTCTATAACTCAATTGATAAAGATATACGGTTGCGATGAATCTTCTTCCTGTGATGCTACTGAAGCTTTCAAGTTCCTTCTGTTCTTAGACTACGGATCTCTTCTCAAATTCAAACGTTCAAGAAAGGAATTACTTAAATATTGCTCCTAATTAATTAAAAGCACGCTGTGGACATTTTCGCAATTTCTTATATTCGAGTTCCCCTGAATGCATAAAAATCCGCAGTCTAGTTATCAGCGGCGCGGAGCAGAATGCATGGAAGGAATCCGTTGGGTCTAACCGCGAGAAACTCGTGAATGTTCCCGTGGAACGGAAAGGTTTTCAGGGAACGACACTATAAACCACTGGCCCTTAATCTTTTCGAAATCACGGAATGCCTCTGGTTAGAAGAAACGTTCGAGGCCTGGTGAAACCATCGATAACGTGCATTCGAGATTAGAAATAATCGCGAGCGTACGTTTCATAGAAAATTCTACACGTATTAAATTTACGAACGGTTCGTGCTTGCAATTTTTCCGTGAGACTTCTTGCGAATTTTCATGGTTCGACGCCAGTTAAGAATCACTGCTACGGGGTAAAGAATGGGTTCCATTCGATTGATACTGCGGGTTTATTTTTGGTTTTGTGGGGCGCACGATCCGCATTGTAAATCGATGTCGTTGTATCGCGGTGGGTTCTCGGTGGAGATTTTGTAAACGTTCAACGTTGCAACGAATCGTTGAATTTTATCTTTCTATTTGGCTTCGTTTATTTATATTTTTCCCCCCCTCGTATGAACAAACGAATCGTTGAAATTCGTCCGGAGAAGTGTCGAATTTGAATAAAACGAATAAATCATAACGCGTGGGAAACATTTAAAAATTTGTCCTTCGGCTTTTCAGGTGCTCGGTGGATGCACGGAGGCTTTTGTAGATAGCCGTGGATGGAATTCGAGAGAAATTTGATGTAAGTGGTGCAGAGTGGTTCGGAAAGATAGTCAAGTAGTCCAAGAGAAATTGTAATCTTAAGGGACAGCGGAAATATCCGGTCGTAGCGGTCCGCAAAGTAAACCCGACGTTCGTGAACTGCACCGACGTACCTCTCCTTAAATCAATATTTCTTTTATCATTTTCCCTTAATGACGAATGACAGTGCGGCCCCATCGGATCCGAGGGCACGGCAGAATTTAAAAGTAGAGGAATCTAATAAACGAGAGTAAAAGTCTTCCGTCGCATTGAACTTCGACGCGGCTCGAAGAGCATAAAGCCGCATACAATAAAGACCGAGCTTTCATTAAAGTTCTGTTTCTATTTTGAAGAGGACGAAAGCGTCGAGAGAAGAGTAGCCTTATTACAGAGATCGAAAATGAATATTCTTCTTTTGAATCGCGTTAAATTAAATTAAATATCATTTAATAACAGTACATATTCGTTATCCACGTCTATACATACATAAATCAAAATGAATATTTACGTACACGATTACATAGTTATCATTAACCCCTTGCCGTACAATGACGAGTGAGACTCGTGATGATTTCTAAACTAATTTAACAGGAATCAATGTTGTTCATTACCCACGGATCTAAGCAAACAAGTATTTATTATCGATGTATTGTCTTCAAATGAAATTTCCACCCGAAGTAAAATGCAAAATTTTGTTGTATTTCTTACAAATTGTCGACAGTAAAATATTACACGAGCTTAGTGACGAAAGTAGATAGCACGCGAAGGGGTTAAAATCGAGAAAGTTTATATTTTACGAAAGCAATCGGTTGTCTTCTTCCGAAAATTATATGTTGTTCGGAATAACACGTCTCATTCGTTCACGTAACAACGCATCCGTAGGATTGCATTCGGATTGCAGCTTGCGCCGTGTCGTTGCAGTCGAACGGACGCGAACCGACGGTTCGGATAATCGAGATTTCGGGTAATGAAGGTTCCGCTGTAATTGAATGGAAAGTACGATCTCGCAAGACCCCGCGATATTATTTGAATCAATCGGCCGCTTCAAGATTCATACCGCGCACACCGGAGCATTATTCCATAGATAATCGGTCCACTGCCGCGGATACAAATTACTATCGATTGCGCGGAGGAATTAAATATACAGACCTCACGATTAATCAAGTCACGTAGCGGCACGAAGTCGATAATCTGTAATGGAACGTGTAACAGATACCGGGCGTACCCTAACCAAACCCAGTCGGTCGATTATTCATAGTACTCGGAAAACTACCGGTGTACGGATTGAATTTTTAACGACGAGTCGTTATTTGTTTGCCGAAGTATATGACGTCATTTTATCAACAGCTGTATCCGTTTCCCCGAGCAGGGATTAATTAATCGTGCCTTCCCATTTACCTAACTACCACTGTCTCGATAGTGTTCGTCCTCTTCGCATTTTTATTATTTCCCATTCGTTACTGCTGTTGATCCAATTACGACAAGAAAACGACGATTACTCGAAACAAATGATATACTTAACATTCGTCGTTCTATCGACTAGCAATTATCTAATCGTTCGTATCTTTAAATCGATGATCAGCTGGGAACCTCTTAACACTACCGGAGGAGTCAAAATGGCTTCCTGGTTTCTTTTTACAATTACAAAGAATTTACTGAAGAAATTTATTTAGCAATACGCAAATTGAATCGAATCATTTGGAGTCTCAGCAAATGCACTCTCAGAGTTTCCATAGGTGAATTTCGAAAGGTCGATGTAACTGCTCGGTAGTTTCAGTGTTAATGATTCTTAGAATAGCAATTATAATCGTGCAATAGGAAATTACCGCGAGTAACATGATTCCGCCATTTCTTTTATAGTTTATAGTACAAAATCATTAAGTTGTCTATTAAATAGCACAGTCGTTAAGGGGACTGTTGATAGGCTTTCAGCGTCGGAAGCGTTAACAGCGAAAGACTTTAACGCTGGAAACCGTCAGGAACGCTTCAAGATCGCTTCGCTTAATGAAACTATTAACGATCTTCCTAATTACCGATACAGTCGTAAATATTTGACAGCCACGCCCCGTGCGGCGGGGCTGCGTGAACACTATTATCCCAGTTTATACATTATACCGATCGTAACGCGCGTAAAAAGGCCGCCGTAATGAAATCGCAGCGATTAAAATGAAATACTCTCATCGGCCCGTTCAGCCGTTTAATATGTTTATTTCCGGGCGGCCGTGACGAGAAGCTTAAACAACGGAGCCGACGGGAGAAACCCGATTTTAATTATGCCGGCTCGCCGCGCCCCGCAAACTTCGCGCACGATATTGCGCGGACGGCGACGCCGCCCGTTGCGTACCCGGTCCCCGTTATCACATTCGCCGCCACTAGAAAAAGAGTTAGCGGCGTGTTGCACGCCACTGATTCCTACTAGAGAACAACTTGAGACAAAACGGAAATCCCCCCTCTTTTAATACGGCTTTTATACGAGACCGTGGTAACAACCGATCGAAACGGGATAATTACAATCGATCCTCCGCTTCGTAATCGCGATTAACACGATTAATCTATTATATAACACTATTAATCGATTGTTCTTTTTCTATCATTCCTTTTTGAAACAACAGCGTAACCTTTGCAGAGGAATTTGAACTCTAGACAATTCAGTTGTCGGGAATATTAATAGACTGTTAGTGATAACACTTTTCAATCATCAGTGGAAAGTTTCAAGACGTAACTCTAGGGAATTTAGTTAATTAACACTAGGTTTACGGGCATTTATTGTTTTGTACTTCATTCTATTATTCCTAAAAGAATTGGTGCTCGTTTATTTAAACTGGAGATTGATAGTAGGTAATTGGGGTACATGTCAGTGTGATCGCATCAATGGAAATCGGCGTAAACGTTTGCAAAATAATGTTTCTAAAATCCAATATGCGTCAATTTGACGCGTTCCGTAAACCTAGTGTTAACCAGTTAACTGTGTTTGACGAGTATACACGTCGTAAAGCTTGATGATACTAATTCTTTCAGCGATGAATTCTTGATTTTCCCTCATAAAGATGTAACTCTTCTTTGTTTCGCTTTGATCTTTCATTAAAATATGCTCTACGTGTATTCGTCCTGCGTTCGACGAGTACACGCTCCATTTTTTAATTTTACTGCGCGTGGGACGAGAGGTTTCTCCAACTAAATTCCACAGTTAACCGGTTAACCCTCTTAGAACATCGCGTCGGGATCGTAATGATTTCGAATATAGTTCAACGAATGTTCCTGAAATGAAATTAAATTCGAAATTATGGAACGTTGGAATTTTATCGACGATTAAACGATCAATTTCCAATTTACTTAGCTATTCATTTTCAAATTATTTCCGAAGCTTCGGTGGAATATTTTT